AATTCTCCAAGTCATCCCCTGCTTAAGCAGCTTGGAGCCATGAAGAATACCTTTCCAAGTGGAAGAACAGTCATGCCTGGCATCCAAAGAGTTATCCAGGATAGAGTGGCCTTTCAGATATTTATCATCATAGATTTTAGCCCATAAACCCTTATCATGAGCATGTAATCTCCACCCAATTTTACCCAACAAAGCTTGGTTCATTAAGGTTGTTTTCTTCAGGCCTAAACCACCTTTACATTTAGGTCTGCATACCAAGTCCCATTGGCATAGGTGGATCTTACTCTTTCTAGCGCTACCTCCCCAGAAGAAGTTGCGGTTAACACGATCAAGCTCATCACAAGTGCTAATAGGCAATTTAGCAGTTTGCATTGCATAAATGGGGATTGAAGCGGTCACAGCTTGGATAAGGGTGGCCCGACCAGCCATAGATAAGCACTTGCTTTTCCAACCAGCTAGCCTGCTGTGAACCTTATCCACGAGACTATAGTACGTAGCCTTGTTCACACGGTGATGTAAAAGAGGCATGCCTAAATATTTACCCAAGTTCACAGTCAGGGGAGAGCCACATATATCACTTAATTCCTTAGCAAGCTCCTTGCAGGTGTTAGGGGAGCAAAAGATAGCAGACTTAGTAAAGTTGATAGTTTGCCCCGAAGCTTTACAGAATAAATCCAAACAACTCTTCATGATCCTTGCTTGCCTAGGGCTAGCCTCCGCGAAGAGCACCAAGTCATCTGCAAAAAATAGGTGGGAGACACAAGGACCAGATTGAGAAGATCTAACTGGCTTCCACTGCTTCTTGCAAACAGAGTCTGCAATAATGTGTGACAGTTTCTCGACTCTTCTACCTGTCCTCTACTTCTCCCTCTGTTTTTTTCTTTCCCACTGCCACCTCAAGGTCCCTCAATGTAAACCAGTGGCCCCAACCCAAGTGAGAGAATTCAGGCAGGCCACTTATAGGAGACGGGGCAGTTATTGGATGCGATGAAGAAGCCTTATACACTGTAACAATGCTGGAACTCCCTACTTCTCCAGATTGGTACAGGCCACCATCATTTTCTAATTTATTAAATGAACCTGACTGACTGCTATTCTCTCCATTTTCCGATTTTCCCGTACCCAAATGGAGCATGATCTTGTCTGATTCTTTGTCACTGGATTTGTCGTGAATGGTGAGAAGAATTCGGAGCAAATTCACTTGCAGATACTTGCTCCACTTGAACTTCCTTAATTTCTTTTGAGACGGTTGGGATTTGACTAAGGGGAATCTTGTCCCTAACTTTCCTTAATTTCTTACGTGAAGTAAGGCACATTGATAACACAGAGAGGATAATTATGATAAATAATGCAACAACTATTCCAATTACTTCCCAGACCTTCAGATTAAAGAAAGTTTCCTTGGATAACTCTGCTTTCAGATCGGAGGCCATTCTATCAGATACCAAAAACCCTACACATAGCAAAATCTCACATTAAGATTGCTTCTGATTCATCATTTATATCACTATCAAAATCTTTTCTTTCAAATCCATTTGCATCAACTAACAACCTGGTACTTTTTTACCAATTCCCCACAAAAATGAAAACTTGAAATAAATACAAAATTATTTAATTATTTTTTATCCACATGTCACCATGTAATTGGATATGTGGGCTCCACTTATCTTCCACATCACACTTAACAGAATTTATAACGGCAAGGACCATTTGTGATAAAAATCCCAAACGTTAAGGACTATTAGTGTCACAAAAAAACCTCAAGGACCATTCGTGATAATTTCGTAAACGTGAAGGAACATTTGTGATAAAAAGCATTTTTTAATTAAGGGGAAGTAATTTATTTTGTTTTTGGCTTTTTATCACAAATGGTCCTTAACGTTTAAGATTTTATCACGAATGGTCCTTGAGGTTTTTTTGTGACACTAATAGTCCTTAACGTTAGAGCTTTTTATCACAAATGGTCCCTCCGTTAAAAATTCTGTTAAGTGTCTGATGTGGAAGACAAGTGGAGCCCATATTCCAATCACATTGTGACATGTGGATGGAAAAATAATTAAATAATTTTTTTTTATGAAAATTCCTTTTTTTTTTCTACAACTTTTCATCCCCCTTCCTCTACTCCATCTCTCTTCCCCTCTGCCCTTGCTCTCCATCCTCTCTCTCCCCCTCTGCTCTCCCTCTCTCCCCCCTGTCCTCTCCTTCTCCCTCTGTAAAAATAATAATATAAACCATATATCTTTCTCCATCTTTGTATAGTGGTATATAAATCATAACCCACAATCCCCCTTTGTTTTTTTCTTGCCCATTGCCTGCCACCTGCAAGAAAAAATTGTCTTTGGGATTCTTTTATTAGTCTCTGTTTTTTTAACACAGCCACCCGCAAGCCGCAAGCCGCAAGCCGCAACCCACGCCCAACTCCCCTACCCTCTCCCACTGTATTTTCTCTCCTCCTCTACTCTCCCCCTCTGTTTTTAATTATTTTAAGTTGTTTGAAAAAATATTTGCGTAAAAGGAAATGTGAAACTACCTTGTGCAAGTGATTATGCAAAATACACAGAGGGAGAGGGGTGGGTTGTGGGTGGGTGGGCGAGGGGTGGGTTGCGGGTGGGTGGGCATGGGGTGGTCGGGCTGTAGAGGCAAGGAAAAAACAACAGAGGGAGAGGGAGAGCACAGGGAGGAGAGAGGGCAGAGGGGAGGGGGAGAGAGACAGAGAGAGAGTGGATTTTCAAAAAAAAAAATATATATTATTTATTTATTTATTTAATCCACATGTCATGATGTGATTGGACATGTGGGCTCCACTTATTACACTTAACAAAATTTTTAACGGAGGGACCATTTGTGATAAAAAGCACTAACATTAAAGACTATTAGTGTCACAAAAAAACCTCAAGGACCATTCGTGATAAAATCGTAAACTTTAAGGATCATTTGTGATAAAAAGCCTTTGTTTTTAGTTTTTTAGGTGGGAAAGGGAAAGTACTCCGTACACGCACATTATCTCTCCCAACTAAACCTGGATTGTCCGTTCTTCCGCTACATAAATAAGACACCAGACCAGAGGGCCAAACAACAAAAAGAAAAAATAAACGACACCAGACGCTGAGCCATCACACCAAAAAATAAACGAGACGACAAAGTCTACTCTCTCACTCTCTCTCGCTCCTCTCTCTCAGTTAGCATATCCTTCTTTTCAGCCTCTCCAGAATCAACGCCACCGTCAACACCACCTTGACATTGCAATACCACCCACGCAAAAACCCGAGCAGAGAACACAGAGGTACCTCTCTCAGATCTCAGCTCCTCTGTCGTCACTTGCTCTTCTTAATTCCAGTATTAGATCCTTTGTTTCTGTTCAATTATTCCTTGATTGGATCTTAAAGAAGCTTTTCTCATTTGCATGCGTTTATCTTTTTCTGTATTTGTCTGTTTAAGTTTTGGTTTACTGGTTTCTGGGTGTTCTTTAATTGAAGTGCCTTAACTCCCCAACTTTCTCAGAATTCATTTTCATTCAATTCCCTGTGGGAGGATCAAATAGGAGGATTGTGGGGTTGGGTTTTCTTCCACACTGTTTAACTAGGAATATGATTAAGCGTTTTAATTTTTTTCTTTTACTTTCTTTATTTGTTTAGAATTAAATTTGCATTCAATTAGGGTTTAACGGAATTTCCCCAACGCTTGTTTGAATAATTCGCAGCAAATCGCAATGGCTCGTAACGAAGAGAAAGCGCAGTCGATGCTCAATCGATTCATCACATTAAAAGCCGAAGAAAAGAAGAAGCCAAAAGAGCGACGTCCATACCTGGCCTCCGAATGCCGGGACCTTGCTGAGGCCTCCAAATGGCGGCAGCAAATCATGGGAGAGATTGGCCGAAAAGTCGCCGAGATCCAAAACGAAGGGCTTGGCGAGCACCGTCTCCGCGACCTCAACGATGAGATCAACAAGCTCATACGGGAGAAGGTTCACTGGGAACGACGAATTGTTGAGCTCGGAGGCCCTAACTACGCGAAACACGCCCCTAAGATGACGGACCTCGATGGCAACATCATCGACGTCCCAAACCCTAGCGGCCGAGGCCCTGGGTATCGGTATTTCGGCGCGGCGAAGAAGTTGCCTGGAGTCAGAGAGCTTTTCGAGAAGCCGCCGGAGCTGAGAAAGCGGAGGACGAGGTATGATATATACAAAAGGATTGATGCGAGCTATTATGGGTATAGGGACGATGAGGATGGGGTTCTGGAGAAGGTTGAGGCTCCGGCGGAGGAGAAAATGAGAGCGGAGGCCGTGGCGGAGTGGAAACGGATGGAGGAGATAAGGAAAGAGGCAAGGAGGGCGGTGAAGAGTGGGGAGGTGGTGTCGGTGGCGAAGGCGAAGGAGGTTTTGTTTGAAGAGGAAGAAGAGGTGGTTGAGGAGGAGAGGCAGAGAGAAAGGGAATTACAAGAGAGGAGTGAGATGGAGAAAGAGTTTGTGGTGCACGTGCTGTTGCCGGACGATAAGGAGATTGAGAAGATGGTGCTGGAGAAGAAGAAGAAGGAGCTGCTGAGCAAGTATACTAGTGATGGATTGTTGGAGGAGCAGACTGAGGCTAAGCAGATGCTTAACATTCAGCGCTAGAATGCAGACACCAAGAAAGAGAAAGAGTACGTTACTGTGTTTAATTTGACTCATTGACTGATAAGAAGTTGTTTGTTCTTATCAAATTGATGTTTAAGATGGATTTTTGATGTATTAATGTACTGGCATAGGTTGAATTCTCTTTGGTTATTGGTAGGCTTTGTTAAGTAAGTGTTTGTAAGGTATTTAGATGTTGGATTGAGTAATAGTTGTCCTTGATGATGAAACAAGTTATATTTGTCACTTTGGATTTAATTTCAAGGAGCTATAATTATCAGTTGATTATGACAAGTTTTGTTAGTTCTTCTACTACATGTTCTATTCTTTTATCAAAGTTTCATTACTTTGTTTATTGCTGAGTTTATCTGGCTACCTCTTTCAAATTATGCTATAAGCTGTGTAAACAAAGAACATATCAACTGTTTAGTTTATACATGATTTGTACTCTTTAGTACGATAGCAAATTTCTAATTTTATATTATGTTGCCTTCATCATCTCTTCATTAAAGGTTATATCATGGCTATTTCAGGTAAAATTGCCAAAGATTTTTTATTACAGACACTTTTTGTTTTTGTTAAATTGAAAAGGAAAATGGAGTGTGAAAATTCCATTATTGATTGTTCTAATAAGTTTTCTTGTGACCTTCCATACAGTAAATGATTTGTTATCTTTTCTTTAGGCTTAGCTAACATTGTTCTTAAGAAACTGCTAATTTCAATAACATAATGTATCACAATCATTTCTAAAAGTGCTATAAAAAGGTTTGTGCCGTGATCTTTTTGTAATAGCTTCTATAGTGATGTCTTGGATGCTATAATCCATTTTTGTTTTTTTGTTTCAAATAGTTCCTACTTGGCTTAGAAGGATCTATATATGCCACTCAAAGACGATGAGATCTTTGAGCATGTACATGGGAGGTGACGATAAGTTAAATTTCTAGGCTATAGACCATGGGTTGATAAGTTAGTACTTTTATAATGCGGTGAAGATCATCACATGGAGATACAAAAGAGCTATTGGCTTAGATTCACATTTTAAGATCAATAAGAACGGTTGAGAAGGTTGGTGTGCAAAGGACTCAGTTGCATTCTTTTAATTGAGACATCTCAAAGTGTTTGTGGAATTCACATCCCACAAATTGATGCTTTCTTTGAGAGCCACTTCAACAGGATTTTCTATTTTGTTATAGATAACTTAGAATCTTGCTATTATTAGGGAATCTCTTTTAAGTTTTACTTTCTAATTTGTTATAGATGAGATTTCCAATGTGGATATAGTTGTCTCTGCCTGATGCAATCCTAGACATCCAGATATCTTGTAAACATTAGCAAAGTATGTGCTTGGTCATTAAGTAGTACTTTTATAATGCTGTGAAGATACAAAGGACCTATTGGCTTAGATTCACATTTTGAGATCAATAGGAACCGTTGAGAAGGTTGGTGTGCAAAGGCCTCAGTTGCATTCTTTTAAATGAGACATCTCAAAGTGTTTGTGGAATTCATATCCCACAAATTGATGCTTTCAATGAGAGCCACCTCAACAGGATTTTCTAATTTGTTATAGATAACGTCAGGTCCCCCCAATTTTTTTTTCCCTCTTGTACTGTCTCTTCACGTCAATAATGCCATAATAAGAAGGAAAACTATGGAGTGTGCCCCCTTCTTTTGAACCCTGCAGTGGCATTTGCTTCAGTGACTCTGATAATCAGGTACACCATCTTCATTTCTCCTTTATATTTATGAAATAACCCAATCAGTGTTTTCTTTGTTTTTCTTTTGTGGCTTAGATTTCTCCCTCCTTTTTTGTTTCTTTTTCTGGGGTCTCATTTATGTTGCTGTCACTATGGTTATGTTTTAAAGATTAATGACATTTCATGCAACAATTTACAGAGCTGCTACTGTTTAGGAAATCTATGCTACCAATTTGTGTTCTTTGGTTTCGTCTTATCAGATGTTTTGAGCCTTGTTTAGGAAATCTATGGTAAATAAAATTTAGGTTTGTTTCATACTAGTATGATTTTCACTGAGAACTTGGGTTGATGAAGAAGAAAGGTTGTAAGTGAGTTTTAAAGTATACTATCTGCATCTTATGATATCTTGAGGTAGTATGAGCATTATTTATAGATTAGAATGCCCAGCAAGCAGCAGTGAATTTTTTATATAAGTTGCCGTATCTGGTAAATAAAATTGTATACAGCTATGGTTAGAGTTCATTTGGTATTGTAATATTTCACCTTTTCAAACGTTTTCTGTCAATGTACATGAGCACAAATTTAAGTCCACTCAATCTTTCTTTTATTAACATCAATGACTGAAAATCAAATAAACAGAAACTTTAGAAGTTCCACGTCTTAAACAATTGCCAGAGCTGATGAGGGCACTCCAAACAATAAAAATAGGAAACCATTTTTATTTGAACATGTTAAACATGATCCTTGGTTCTCATCATTTACAAAAAACCATGTACTTTCTGATGTGCTTAAGCCTGCAGTGGGGCAGAGTTTCTAATGGGGAGCAGACGCAGTTTCTGTTACTATTTGATCTCTAATTATACTATCCCTGCTCTATAGTTTCTAACTGTTATGTGTATCAGAGTAGAAATAGGTTGGCACACCATAAATTTGACATGGTTTACCCTTCTACAGTTTAAAAACTTGTACATTAAGCTTATTTTTGAAAATGTATGGACTTTTGGGTTGTGTGTAGATTGTTCTGATTTTAGCATTGTGTTAATTGATTTTGATTCAATTATGGTCAGTATATGTCCTGGGCCCTTTTTCAGGTGATAGAAGCAAGTCAGGCATTTTAAGAGCTTCTTTTTCTTTAACCTTTAATAGAATTTTCTTTTCTTAACTACTGCTGTCAACTCTTTGTGTTCTGATTTTCTGATTGTCATTGTAAGTCTTCTAATTGAGCATGATATTGTCTTTGTGTTTTGATTTTCTGATGGGTCTCGTGTTTATCTTTTGTTTTTACTATATCTTTTGTGCCTAAACATATCTTGCTCTCTTTCCTTGTTGTTGGGTTAGTTTGCGACCTAGGTTTGTTTTCACTAGTATTATGTATAAGATCATTTAAAAATTTGTTTAAACACATCTTTGGTTCCAATTCTTCATTGCTTGAGCTTTATTTTCGGGTACTAAGATGTTTGAGCTTTATTTTCGGGTACTAAGATGTTTGAGCCTTATTTTCGGGTACTGAGATGTTTGAGCTTTATTTTTGCGTATTGAGATGTTGGAGATTTATTCGGGTACTGAGATGTTTGAACAATATATATTTTAAGATAACAATATATTAAGGTTACCATGCGTTTTCCTGAAATATACTCTTGAAGAAATCTTTGGTCCCAATTCTTCATTGCTTGTTTTATCTTGTACGATGGTGAACCTTATTTTCAGGTGCAAAGATGTTTGAGCTCCAAGGTTTTCTTTTTAAATTTTTTGTTTTTGCATGATTTCAATATTGGTTGTATTAAAATAAAAGAATTGACATATTGGCAGAAAATATGGGGATAAATGGACCTCATAAGGAAAGAAACAAAGGTAATAGATTTACCTATTCCATTGTCTAATTGAGAATCGAGTGTCCCATAATGGACACTCAATTTAATCCTGTTTTTCTTTTTGGTTTTGGTCAAAATCTTGTTGCATACGGTTGGCCAATGTCAAACCTTGTAAGTCCAAATCAGACATTGTGAATTGGAGAATTTTCTGTTTTCTGTTTTCTGCACTTACCTTACCCCCTGCTAATATAATTTTCATAGGATTATGTGCACTATATGAGATCTTGAGGTAATTGTGTGAGTACGTATATACAATCCGAATAGATACAGATTAGTAATTGAGTTGTATTTAGTTCTCTACTAGCTAATTGTTACATTAGTAGTGGATCATAAATGGTCAGTTCTCTTCAATAGTCTGGGGAATATAAGATTCAATTTTATTAAGTATTGTATTGTTGCAAAGGTTGTTGGCTGGTCAGGTCGCCCCAATTTTTTTCCCTCTTGTACTGTCTCTTCACGTCAATAATGCCATAATATGAAGGAAAACTATGGAGTGTGCCCCCTTCTTTTAAACCCTGTAGTGGCATTTGCTTCAGTGACTCTGATAATCAGGTACACCATCTTCATTTCTCCTCTATATTTATGAAATAACCCAATCAGTGTTTTCTTTGTTTTTTCTTTTGTGGCTTTTAGATTTCTCCTTTTTTGTTTCTTTTTCTGGGGTCTCATTTATGTTGCTGTCACTATAGTTATGTTTTAAAGATCAATGACATTTCATGCAACAATTTCCAAAGCTGCTACTGTTTAGGAAATCTATGCTACCAATTTGTGTTCTTTGGTTTCGTCTTATCACATGTTTGAGCCTTATATATAGATTAGAATGCCCAGCAAGCTGCATTGAATTTTTTATTTAAGTTGCCGTATCTGGTAAATAAAATTGTATACAGCTCTGGTTAGAGTTCATCTGGTATTGTAATATTTCACCTTTTCAAACATTTTCTGTCAATGTACATGAGCATAAATTTAAGTCCACTTAAATTTTCTTCTATTATCATCAATGACTGAAAATCAAATAAACAGAAACCTTAGAAGTTCCACGTTTTAAACAATTTCCAGAGCTGTTGAGGGCACTCCAAACAATAAAAATAGGAAACAAGTTTTATTTGGACATGTTAAATAGGATCCTTGGTTGTTCTCATCATTTACAAAAAACATGTACTTTCTGATGTGCCTAAGCCTGCAGTGGGGCAGAGTTTCTAATGGGGAGCAGACGCAGTTTCTGTTACTGTTTGGTCTGTAATTATACTATCCCTGCTCTATAGTTTCTAACTGTTTGAGTTTTCCAAGTGTTATGTGTACAGTGTATCAGAGTAGAATAACTAGTAAGGTTGGCTTGGGACACCATAAATTTGACTTGTTTTACCCTTCTACTGTTTAAAAACTTGTACATTAAATAAGCTTATTTTCCAAAATGTATGGACTTTTGGGTTGTGTGTAGACTGTTCTGATTTTGGCATTGTGTTAATTGATTTTGATTCAATTACGGTCAGTATATATTCTGGGACCTTTTTCAGGTGATAGAAGCAAGTCAGGCATTTTAAGCGCTTATTTTTCTTTAGCTTTTAATAGAATTTTATTTTCTTAACTACTGCTGTCAACTCTTTGGGTTCTGATTTTCTGATTGTCATTGTAAGTCTTCTAATTGAGCATGATATTGTCTTTTTGTTTTGATTTTCTGATG